GACTTGTCTACTGCTAAAATTAAACATTCACCTAAAGCAACATAATTACACTGCCTTCTCTGCCACAGTCTCCCCTCCTTGAAACTACTTATTTTGCTACAGATCAACACCATCAAGACCATTAGTTTAGCAAATGCCAAAAAGTACAAACACAAGAGTCATGTCTGACTGGGAAACAACTGCAATACCTTTGATAAAAGGTTTGACTGGCACAGAGTCAAGTTCTCAGATGTGAGAAGTCACAGATGATGAAAATATTACAGGTTATGCCCAATCAATATTGTCATGGTTCAGATGAGCTTTACTACCACAACACAATAGAAATCAGTTAGATTCTGGTATTTACAGTTTCAGGAGCAATTACTGCTTTATCACAGAAAGAATACAAGGTGGACATGCTGGCCTCAGAAATCCTAATCAATTTATATTAATTTAAAAATTTAACACCTATGAAGTCTACCCAATTTTTTTTTTAACTCAGATTGTCACCATCCAACACATTTCTAATCTGTTCTTGAATTAACGTTCCCCAATACAGAACATATTTTTGAGCAAGGGTATAGACCCTTTCAAGGGCTTTCTGTGCCCAGTAAATTTGTATAATAAATGAGAGTAGCATTCTCCAAGCTTCAAAACGCCTAGAAACATAATGTAACATGCAGCATGATTGAGACACATTTCAGATTTTTCTGAACTCTTATGTAAAACCACATATAATGCTAGAGATTCAGCAATAAAAAAAAATATAAAGTGCATCCTTGTTTACTGATGTAAGTTTGTATTTCAAATGCCCTTGCCTAGAAAATTCAACACATGCACAAAAAGTCTTTTCCTGGTTGCAAGCTGTGTATCAATATAACAGACTGTATTTATGAAAAATAACCAAATTTATAAAAAGAACTTCAAGGCATATCTATTAAATAGCATTTTACTAACCTACTTTCTAATGCATTATTTTAATGTGGAGGAACAATAACCACTGTCTTCATATTAGTAACCAATACTATATTTAAACTAAAAACAGCAACAACAATCCACCAACCAAAAAAACTCCCCACCAACAAACGAAAACCTGGAGTAATTGTTAAATAAGAACCCTTAACTTTTTCATAAATAGAGCGTACCGCTAACAAGTCAAAAGCTAAAGTAAAAGTCTCAACTGACTCTGCAGCTCTAAATAATAAAGGCTTTTTTAAATTTTCTCTTTTCATTACTTTCATCCTACAAGCTTAACTGCCAGTATCTTTCACAAAACAGCATTTTCATCAGAATGGAAAGATAATATAAAAGCTCTATATTGTCTGCAAGGGTCAGCTTTTCCTTATTAGGTTTTAAGTAGCAGAAACTAGTTCTGCAAAGAAAACATACTGTAATTATTGTACTCAACAGGTAGCTTCAGTAATCAGGCCAAAAGCAACACAGTGGTCATGTCATTCTCAAAAGATCAGCATTTTCCCATGCTTCTGCATAACAAATGCGTTGCAGATTAATTGAAAGCGTACCGGCCATCCTAGAGCCCAAATTAATCCGAGCATTTGATATCCCCTTCACTTCATATGGAAATGCCATTCAATGGCACCATTTTCATAGGGACAAAGTGTTTTTTGATAACAAGTGGAATGTAAATCTCATGAGAAAGAAATCAATCCAGCCCAAAGAACTCCAGAGTATTGATCTATGTGCATTATAATTTCACAAGCTTGAAGAGAATTTGTAAGTTAAAGAGGAAATGATTACAACCACAAAACAGCTGCTATATCACAAAGTTTTCTTTTAACTGTGCTATGAAAGCAAGAAATAAGCAGTTTCTGAAGTTAAAAGTTCTATTGGTTGAATTAAGTCTTCAGTTTGTTCAAAATCAAAGACAACATTTGATTTAATTATGATGCTTTTCTTGCAAATGGAAAAACTTGCAAATAAAGTTCACACCATTCAGATCTGATCAACAAGTCTACTGTCTAAACTGAAGTTAAAAGCTGAATAAAAGATTTTTACAAAATCATTTTTCAAGTACACAGAACTTTGTCAAACCTTCCATATTTGCTCCTGCAAAGCAGGTAAAACTTTTTAGACTAAAGAGTAACAGTTTGTGATGTAACAACAAAAATCTACAGAATATAAAATTCTAAAGCTGCAAAGTAAGAGATAGAAAACTTCCTCTCACAAAAATGAGATTAATCCTAACAACGCAAGACAGACCAAATCCCCTACTGGGTATGGGGGTTTTTGTTTGTTTGCAACACATAAAGTGATTTTGAACACAAACACAAAACTTTCACTGAGAATCCAAAAGAAATCAGGGGCCCCCTGAGCTTGGCTCCAGAATAATGCCTAGCCTTTTATTGTGTTCATCTTTCTGTCACAGCTTTGAAAAATTTACAATTTCATTTAAAGCACAAAAAGACATTCTAGATGTTGAAGCAGAGATTTCAACCTCACCCAGACGCAGGTATGAGGTGCTGATTTCCATAAAAATAGGGTGAAACTTTAAGTTCGGTTTAACTGAACAGTCTCAGACATCTTTAATCTTACATTACACTTAAAAGAACCCTGCTTGTCTTCTGGAAATAAGTTTCAGTTGTTCCTTTAACATCAATACACTAATGCACACAAAAATTGTTTTCTAACATGCTCCTCTCCATTTCAAGTGTGAAGGCATCAACACACAACTGTACCCCAAACCAATATTTCACACCACATAAAACCACTGTAACTAATTCTACTACACAGTGGAAGTAAATACTGCGGGTGTGACAATACAATAGCCTCCAAGTTTCCTGCATGATTTTTTGTATGATCCTAGGTAACTTTATCAACTGCAAATTGGCATTTCAAAAACTCAACTATTTTATGGGCCCCAGCAAAAATTTGTAAAGTGCTATTATAATGAGAAACCATCAAAAAGAGTAACTTACACCGACTGCACATCCTTGATTTTTATCAAATACAAAGCCTCAATAATGCTCTCAGCCCAGATGAAATCTCCCTACTGCAATGACAGGTGTTTACACTCTCAGAAATTCTCACCCAAGAGGAGGTTTTCTATCCAGCCTAACTGGACCAGTAAATAAGATACCACAGGATTCACCTCCCTTCCAAATCTTTTTCCCTACTTCATCTAAGCAGGCATCTGCAGCTTTCCTATGGGAGTATCCACTGTCTCCTAATAGCTAACTGAAATTTCAAGCTTCTGCTAGAATCTGATGCTCATTTTTTCATTATTTTTCCATGAAAAAGGAAAATTATCTGCTATGATGTTCTATTTTAGAGAACACTAATATGATTAAACTGCCTGCAGGTATAAATGTAAGACCAAATGGACTCTTTACTGTGTCCAAATTCAGTTGAGGAAATCAGCAAAGCAGAAGTCAATAAACACACAATACTCCCCTAAAGCCTCTTTCTTAGTGAGGACTTCTATTTTCACACACCTATATTAGCAGTAAAGTATGTATAGAGCATAGCAAAAAAAAAAAAAAAATCCATAGTGCAATTTCCTTTCTCTTTTCCTTCTCAAACATCCGTCATAAATATGACTCATGTATTTAAAGAACAGGTTTGAAAGTTTCTAGGCTTGAAAGCTGAGATGTATCTCTCAATTTTAAAAAGCAAGCAGGAACATGAAATTTTGCAATTTTCAGCACTAATGACCATTTCTTGTGACATTCTCTTACAATTTTTAATTAATTCCATCATAAACTCACCTTGTAATTGTTTGTTTCTATCCAAACACTCTAAATTCCATGTCAGGGTGCAGTCTTTACTGATCTCCCTGTCTTCATCAAACTTACAGCAATATAACCACAGTAACTAATAAACACTAATACTTACAGAACTGAACTCACATAAAAGTATATTGTTTGAAAGGTATCTAAATTTTAAGACATGTCTAAAAGATTAACAACTTCTTTAAATACTTATAAATGTTTTTTAACAGCTAAAACCAGAAACACTGCATCTAAAACCCATTTACATATACAAACACTACTTCTGTAAACTTTTCTACCTTCCTTCCTTCTACCTTCCAAACACTCAACCTCTATAATAAAATTAATAAACCCTGAGGTTTTGTTAAATCATTATATGAAACAGAAATCAACACAGATCATGTGTGTTAAAGCTTTCTAACAATTATTTCAAAAAACTGAAGGCGTACAAATACAGCTTTGCTTAGGTAAAACAATAGGCCTCTTAATGTGCCATGAAAACCAGCTGTGAAGACTTCTATCTAAATCTGTTCTAAAAACATGTGCCAAAGAAAGCATTTGACATTTAAATTCACTCAAAATGCTTCACTCAAAAAACTTCACTTTACTGATTGTCAGATTTTATTGCTCCAAATTACAGAAAAAGGAAGATCCTTAAAAATCCTAACAGCAGTTTCACTACTTAGAAGTTTTGCTAAAAATTCATTAGAAAATTGCTATTCCAATGTATTGCATAGAGCAGAGTTTGGCACAGAAAGTTTTTAAGTAAAAACCAAACCACAAGAGCTAATTCCAGTTGTAATTCACTCCAAGACCACCAGTTAAATTTATATTTTAACCATTAACGTTGAAGGGTGGACTAATCATTAGTTGATGAATTTGCTTTTTCCTTACAGCAACATCAATAAATTTATATATATTGCAAACTTAACAATAATATCCACAAAAGTAAAAAATTTAACCCCTCTACCCTAACGTAGTTTTGAGTGAAGTGAGAACCAGGATTACATGCTAAATTATGGACTTCAGATTAATACAAATTTAGCTCATGATGCCTCTTGCAAGTCAGCAAGGCAGACAGGAGAAGCACAACAGCATCAGCTCTTCAGAACTGCTTTTAACAGCTGGCAGTGTCCTAGTAAGGAAAATGCAGGCAAATAAATAAAATTAATAAAATATTCACAACAAGCAAATTATTCTGTGTTCTGTACTCTGCACACATCACACAATACAAAGTTACTATTTATTTAATTTTTTTTAAACTTTAATTAGAAGTACTAGTGTGTGACAAACCTAGTGCAAAGGAACTTCCAGCCGCCACAGATAAACCATTCTAAGCCTCTTCTTCTCTGAGAAATTCTGGCTCTTGGTAAAGTATGGTAATCACTCTCATCGTTTTCAAAGCCTTCTTCCGACATCATTAGTGGCATTTCATCCAAATGAGAGGACTCATCTTCTGCTTGGTACCTGGCAAAATGAGATAAAAGCATTACATAAATAGCCAGTACATCACTTTTTATTACTGGGAATCTCCTAAACTAACAAGTTAATTTTTGCCATATGGAATTTCATTAGGGAGATATTTTCATCTAGGCATCTCATGCATTTTTGTCAACACATTAACAAGATATCTGATTTTAGTTAAAATTGTATAATACAGCAGAAAGCCTGCAATCATTGTCAATCATACTATAAATAATTCTAGGAAAATTCTTAGGTTTTATATAATCTGTGCACACAAAGTTGCGACTTCCTACTTTCCAAAGGATGCTTTGTAAGATTTTGTTAGGTAGAAGTTTGAAAAGCTTATAGCAGACACAAGTGACTGAGTTTTTATGGAAGTACAGCTTTGTATTTCCACTGTGCTTTTTCAATCTGCTTTCCTGATGTATTTTCTTGTGTGTGCAGGCCTTTGAGCCTCAATTTCTACACCACTCATCAGTATCTTGGTTTTAATTATGAAAACATTATAGTTACTCTTATAATTCTACACAAAAACATTCAGTGAGTCAAGAAGATTTGCCTGTGGGACCTGATACCTTGAGAGGACACCTAGAACAGAGGCTAGACAGTGTTAAAGGTATTTATTAAAAAGGCCTTCAAAGGATACACTCCAAGCAGTACAAGAGCCTAGCCAAGGCTACACCCAACATTGATGACGGGTCACAAGTTTTCATACTTTTATATGTTTTGGTTTTATATGTTTGTTTTTACATATGGAGGTTAATTGCCCAGTTACAGCTTCAGCTTATGAAGTCCCATCCTCCCATGCTCTCCTCAATTCGCTATTGTTTGCACTTTTTGGGCATGAAGCTGCCATAGTGTCCTTGGTTCTTGGGCTGGAAAAGGATTGTTTTGTCTAACTAAACTGTGAAGAGAACTTGCTAACACTTTATATGAAGTTCAGAGTTATATACTAATGCAGCACAGAATCTGAAAAATATGACAGCTAAAACTTAAGGCATCAGACCCATGGAAACAACATTAGACTAACAATGGTCTTTTCCTCCTCAGAAACTATTATCCATTCTAATTTTACACATGTGGAATGCTTTTTAAGCTAAGACAAAACACTGGAATATTCAGTAAGAAAATTCCTCTTAGTGCATGTAAATTTACTGACTTACTCATTTCATACTTTTATACCTTAGGGAAGATGATTGAAAGAAGATGCACTGTTACTCAGAATTAGTAAGTTTAATTTTTATGAAGCTGTATTTAAAGTCATCTCTTACAAGGTGAATTTTGGGACTGTCTCATTTTCTCCCTAAACCATTTAAAAATAGTAATTAAGAAAATTAGAAATTCATTCCCTTTATGTAAGTGAGCAGCTGAAGTGCATGGTGCTCTGCCTAGGGATGGATGAGGAGGCAACTGAGAGCTTCTGGATTAAGAATAAAGAGAGAAAAGGTAAAGACAACATTTTAGTAGGTGTCTGTGAGACCACCTGAACAGGAAATGCATACGGGTGAGGCCCTTTACAGACAGAGAAGAGCAGCTTCACATTGTGAAGCCCTGGTCTTCGTGGTGAACCTCTACCACCCTGGTATCTGCTGGAGGAACAACACAAAAGGACATAGGCAATCTTTTTGCAGCACTTCGACAACAATTTCCTCCTCTAAATGCTCTGGAGGAGACCCATGAGACAAGATGCTTTGCTGAACCTCATACTCACCAAGCAAGGAGGGACTCACTGGGGATGGGAAGGTCAACACAGCCTTGACTGCAATGACCGTAAGACAGTGCAGTTCAAGACCCTGAGAGCAGGGGAGAAGGTAGCAAGCAACTCACAACCCTGGATTCAGCCTTTTCAAGAAGTGCTTGAAAGAGTCCCATGGAATAAGGTCTTGGAGAGAAGAGATGCCCAAAAAAGCTGGCTAGTACTAAAGGATCACCTACTCCAAGTTCAAGAGATTGCCATCCAATGAGATGGCTCTGACTGGACAAACAAGGAGCTGTTCAAACCAGAGCACAAAACAGAAGTGCAGAGAGGGTAGAAAAAAGACAGGCAACCTGGGGAAATACAAAAACATTGTCCAAGCTTCCAAGGACAAAGCTAGGACAGCTATAGCCAAATGTAACTGAATCCAGACAGGGATGTCAAAGACAAGAAGTTTTAAGTACATAGGTGAGATAAGGAAGACGAGGGAAAATGGGGTCTCATTGAATAACACAGGGGATATAGTTACACAGGACATGGAAAAGGCTGAGGTACTGGATGCCTTTGCTTCAGTCTTGATTAGCAAGACTGACTCTCAGGAGTCCCAGGTCTCAGAGAACAGGAAAAAAGCCTAAAGCAAGGAAGATGAGTGAGGAAACACTTAAGCAAACGGAATACAAATATATATATATATATATATATATATATTTATATATAGTGTAATATTACATATATAATGCAATATATATAATATGCAATGAAATATGTATTATGTATTAGGAGTATTCTATTATATATATTTGCATGTAAAAATATAAAAAAGCTTTTGGGCCCTGATGGGATGCACCCACAAGAACTGAGGAACCTGTCAGATGTCATTGCAAGGTCATTTCCAATAATCTTGGATCAATCATGGCAATTGGGGGAAGTGGCTCAAGATTGGAGGAAAGCAAATGCCACTCCTCCTTTTCAAGAAGGGCAAGAAGGAGGACCCAGGGAACCTGCCCTTAGCTTTCAGTCTCATCAGTCCTTGGGAAGGTGATAGAGTGGCTCATCTTTGGAAATCTTTCCCAAAAAAGGACAAGAAAATGATGAAGAGTAGTCAGCATGGCTTCATCAAAGGGAAGTCCTACTTGACCAACCTGATAAACTTGTAAGATTGAACAGCTGACCTGGTGGATGAGGGAAGAACAGTGCATAGTGTCTGCTTGGACTTCAGAAAGGTCTTAGACACTGTCTCCTATAAAATTCTTGTAGGCAAGCTGCTGCTGCAGTGGCTGGATGAGCAGACAGTGAGATGGATTAAATTATGTCATAATGGCCAGGTCCAGAGGGTGGTCAGTGGTACAAAGTCTAGTTGGAGGTCAGTACACTAGGTCAGTGTACCCCAGAGATCCATACCGGCTCAGTCAAATTTAACATCTTCATTGATGATGTGGAAGATGGGGCAAAATGCATCCTCAGCAAGTTTGCAGATGGCACAAAACTGGAAGAAATGACGACAGGCCATATGAACATGCCATTATCCACTGCAAATTTGAGTGGCTGGAGAAACAGGTTGATGAGAACCTCAGGAAGCTAAGCAAGAAGAATTACAAAGTTCTTCACCTGAACAACCTCACCCAGCACTACATGCTGGGGGCTACTCCAGGGAAGGAGCCTGGCAGCAAAGAATTTGGGGATCCTGACAGACAGCAGCACAGTGCCCTCGCTGCAAAGACAGGTACTGGTATCCTGGGCTGCATCAGGCAAAGTGCTGCCAGCAAATCAAGGGAGGAGATTCTTCCCCTCACCTCACCACTGGGGTAGCCACACCTGGAGCAGTGTGTCCAGTGCAAGAGAGGCATGGCCATGTTGAATAGAGTCCAATGAAGGGCCATGATGATGATGAAGGGACTGAAGGATCTCTCCTACAAGGAAAGAATGAGAGAGATGGGACTGCTCAGCCTGGAGAAGACAAGGCACAAGCAGGATCTTATTAATGTCTATGAACGTGAAAGGAGGTTGCAAAGATGAATGAGCCAGGCTGTCTTCACTGGTGCCCAGTCACAGGACTAGAGGAAACGGGCTCAAACTGAAACACAGAAGGTGCTATCTCAACATCAGGAAACACTTTGAACTTGAGAATGACTGAACATAGCCATGAGCAGTCCAGGGAGATTGTGGCATCTCCATCCTTTGACATATTTAAAACCTGTCTGGACATGATCCTGAGCAAGAAGCTGTAGATGGTCTTGTTTGAGCGGGAGGGAGTTCTGCTGACAGAACAGCACCCTGAACAGTATTCTGTCAAATACAGTTTTGTTTATTTTTAAAAAGCAATATTACAAACACAAGGGGTAAGCATGAAAAGGCTTGCATTTTTTCAACTCACTATATATTTAATACAAAAACCCGAAACTATTTCTGTTCCCCCTAGATCTTCTATGTTGAGCCTTATTGTATACAAGGATATATATTGAAACAGTTACTAACTTTTTTGGATGCCAGGAAAGAGAGGGAAGGAAGCAAGAGACTGAATATTAGATTTCTATTGGAAAGGTATACCATGCACTTTACACTGGCTATATAATAAATTGGCATCAACACAGTTAAGAAATAAACTCTATCACAGAAGGGGAACAAAAAACCCACTACTGTTTAACAAGTCTTGAACTAGACACTCCCTCTTTTTTTTGGCAGGTGATGCCCTGATTTCTGCACTCCCTTGGAATCACTTGGCATGGAACACCATTAAGGAATGTGTTCAGACCAGATTAGACAATATTGCATAACTTGGAGTAATAACAAACAAACATCTCCCATACCCCACTGCAAGTTCAACTGAGTATTGGAACCTTTAGTACATTAGGCCTTGTGACAAGAAATCTTCATTAATGTTTCAAATGATGTAAAAGCACTGCCACACTTCAGAAAACACAAACAAAGTTTCAAACTAAAATAAACTGTGCCAATATTAAATGTTAGGAGTTTCCAGAAAGTTATGTGAGAATATGGCATGGAAAATGTTTTCCAAATTATTGCTAAGAGTGTGCACCTAAAAAAAAAAAAAGTTTAAAACAAACATGAGAAAACTTGGTCTTCACAATGATGATTGCAAAAACTGTATGTGATGTTTAGTTTAATATGACAATCTAGAAATATATTTTCTCTTACTATTATTATTAATGGACATTATGAAAAATATTATACAAAAAATTTTCTTCACAAAACACAGCATTTATTACAGGTTAACATCCATATTATACCAAACTATATTGATTTCTCTCAGACTAGATCAACACTAGGTAATAAAACCACTGCATAG